CGGTCGAACGCCCTTCTCCAGGTCGAGGAAGGCTAGGTAGCAGGGTCGGCGCTTTTCTCGATACTTCTCCATCACTTGCCTTGCGATGAAGATGGCATCCGTTGTCTTTCGGGCATGAACCCGAACTGTTCCTGGGAGATCGGGACCAGCTCCCGCAGCTTCGAGTCGACCAGCCGCTCGTACAACTTCATGGTATGCGCAGTCAACTTGATCCCGCGGTAGTTGGAGCAGTCCATCGCGTCACCCTTCTGTTTGAAGATGGGGACGATGGTACTTGTCCTCCATGCATCCGGCATCTTTCCTTCCACTGTTACCTTGTTCAGGAAGCTGGTGAGCCACCTTATGCCGTACTCTCCGAGCGTTATTAGATCGCTAAATTATCCCAGTATCCAAGCATGGCAGATATTTATGTTGTTATATGTTGACATGCGCGTGATAGCGGAGCAAAACTGGTGCGAAAGTTATATTTCAGTCTAATCGAATCACTGATATCATGATCATCAAATATGTATTATCAAATCCTAAGAAGCGTTATGAAGATTGAGTTCACAAAAAAACAAGTTAAAGGAAGCGATTACGATAAGGAATTTTCGCATCGGGGGAGAACCTGCGCCACACGGAGCAATTACTTGGCTGCCAAGGAAGCGATGTGTGGCCCTCCCACGGCGAAAGGTGCTGTGGTTGCTGAGCAGGACCCGTGTGACGCCCGCCCCCAGTGACGTGACGCCCACTAGTTTTGTTGATGATCTGGATGGACTGTTTGCTGTTGGCTTTTCATTTTGGATGATCATTTCCCTTCTAGCGGCTGTATCTTCCAACTTGCCCACGTATTGCCTTATCAATCAAAACACTATGCTTGTTGGCATGATGGCGGCTATCGGGGTTAACACGTCCGAACAACGTCGTTCTTTACCGTCGCTCATCCATGGTCGAAAATGAAAGGGCAATCAAAGGGGTACTATTTTGCTTATTTTTGACGGATTTCTTTGCTTTTTTCGCCATTGGCGTACTATTGAGACCCCCACGTCCCCTCTAAACCCCTGTGAGATCTATCGTAATCGCTTCCTTTAACTTCGGTAAAACTTTGAATTCTGACTTATTCGCCTCACCCTCAGATACACGCAAGAAAATGTCTTTTCTGGGTGTCACTTAGAACCAAAGTGTTGTCGATTGATGTTTGGATTATTCTCCTGAAAACATCTCAGAAGCAGAGAAGTTGGAATCTCTCAGACGCAGTGTTATTTTTACTTTGTTCATGGCTAGTGTAAGTACTTGAACCAATGCCTTTGATGGCCCTGCGAGATCGGAAGTGAAAGTTCTCAAACTTTTGTCTGTTTCTGCATATACGAGACTTTTTGAAGTGGCCTAGTATAGTCCTTTTTTAGACAATAAGACGAGTTGATTGCATGATGGAAGGGATAAAAGCGAACAAGAGACCGGCAGACATTATGAGGGAGCGCTCATTCTCCTTATTATATCTCATAGAATGCTTGATTTCAAGGTAATTCGATCTATTGAATCCTTTGTTCCTTCATATTAGATAGTCTCCGAACTGGAAGTGTGCTTCATTCTTAGCGCTTTTTCAGAGGTGCCGTGGTCAAAGATCAGTTGTTGCTAGACAAAGCCGTATGGATTGACTTTCTCCATGTCCTTAATTACTGCTATCGGGATGGAAGAGATGTAATTTTCCCTTTTTGTCAACCCATTTGTTGGTTGGATTTCATTTAATGCATTTCATCGCGTGAGCCATATGTGGTCTACAGTTTGTAGACCATGTGGGACCGCGTGCGCCTTGTGTGGCTCACACTATCCTTTTTACACGCATGCGCGACTTCTTTCTTAGTTTTTGGTATGTGTTTTGAGGAACATGCCTAGTCAGACAAACGAGCCAAACGAATTGGCTCGTTGATTTGCTGATGGTCTGAGTTGCTTCAGCAATCCATCTGATGTGCTTCGCTTCAGCAATCTATTTGAACATTTTTCTTTCAGAAACTAAGAAATGAGAGTTTTTGAACACTGTAGGTAGTGGTACCACTATGAAACGCGGCGTATTTTATAGAATGTCGTCGAAATCGTGCAACTTACAGGCTTGTCTCTTTGCCTTGGAACGTGTAATCACCATGATTGATGAACGAAAAAGAATAGGCTCAGTACTGATTGTAAGAGAAATATCAATATTTATTGGGAAACATGATTCAAGCTTTTTCATGCTGATACTCAGGCGTTCACGAAGGAGTACGAGTTTGCTCGCGGATACAGTGGGAAAGCGGATCTTTCACTAGAAGAAATCAGGGAAGGCTACCGAAGAGTGCGAAAGGTTAGTGAGGGGATTTCATCGGTTGTAGTGTAGGATACCATTTTCTGACTAAGATTTGTGGTAGATTTGATCGACGGAGTCCTCTGGAAAATCATAATTTTATCTTACCCCTGTATCACTGCTTGATACCCATCATTCACGATAAGAACGAAAAATTGCTTTTGTTTTGGTAAACAATTCGAAAAACGGAAGGGCTGCTACGCGTTCAAATTCCCGCCGGACATCTGTCACAAATGCTGGCGACGGGAACGCTTCCACTTGGTTCTCGGAGTGCCGTCACTAGAAACTCTTTCTGCCTTTTGACTTATTGCACTAACATCTCACACTTCTGCATCCTATTCTATCGATCGTTTTGTCTCTATTCTCCAAAATCGAACGCTTCAACCCGATTCTTTCAATGCATCGCTTGATCGCCGCCACGAAGTGCACATCTTTCTATTCACTGCCCTGTCTCTGCCCGGCTTACCTTCGATGTCCATAGAGTGTGGTTTTGTAAGTTTGTTTCTCTTCGGAAACCGAATCTTCATGCGTGAAACTTTGTGTGCTGTTTCCAGTGATCACAACTGACATATTCATGTTGGGAAAAATGCAAGAATTTTCCGGGGAGGATTCCTTGAAAGGCATGGGTCGAGGTTAGATCCTTGAAGGGATTCTTACTTGGAATGAGGCAAAAGGACTCCTTATTACCAAAGGTGGTGGTAGTGCCGCAACTTTGAAAGCCACAGTTCACGATTAGGCCCGTGCATCTGTCCCATTTCAGATGGTGGAAGGGCAGGTGGGAGGGCAAGCGTGAAAGAAAGGGGTCTTTTCGGGGTAATCGGTGATTTCTTTTGCTTTTCTCTTCTTTTCCAGAACGACCCCTCCATCCCCTCATCCTCCAGCTTCGTTATTGAACACACTCGCCATACCCATTTTATCCCTGGGGCTTTTTGCTTCCCTTCAGAGATCGACCAAGGTAGCCAAATGCCTTGCATGACACCTGCCTTCTCAATCAATTGCAACATAACGCCAACGTCTAGTCGGCACTCTCGCCCTACACGCTATCTTTCGCGTTTCCACTGCCCTCGCAACGCAGTGTCTATCCACTGTCTAAAGGCCGACCTCACAATGAAATTTTCAGTGTTTTCTATGAAGCTCTTCTGATTTTTTTCCTTTTACGTTCTTCTCCGCACTTCTTGTCTAATTTCCGAGCAAAATAACACCAATTTAGTCACAACCCCTGCCTCTATGCAGAGGGTGCGTAACTCGATCGGTCGGTGAACGGATGAAAAAAAAGATGTCAAAAATCCCATGTGAAGAGAAATCAAGTCAGTGACATAAACCCTTGAGATAAGATTCTTTCTCTGCTGTCCGATAATATTTGATCCGCTTTGGACGAGATTCAGCGTTGCACCAATACTTCAGTGAAGTATTTGCTCGCTGCCCGTGTAAACTCATTTATCGACTAGAACAGAGACATGTCATGTCTGGATAAAGGGTTTTGGTAAGTAGACCCCTGAGCGGTTCCAAATGAGATGATACACCTCCTTGATGCTCTCGACGTTGATCCCAAATCTGTCTTCTATATCTGCTGAAAATGCTGTGAACACAATCATTAAAGTTTTTCTGCCGCAAGCGGTGAGATGGCCTAAGGGGTAAAGCGGCAGATTTCCAGGACCGACGGATGAATTTCACCATTGTTCACACAAATGTATGTAGCCTGCAGATGTGGACCTCATGATGACCAACTGTGGCGACTTAAGATGACTTTTGCCCTGACTTGGACCCTGCGGAAAATCTAGCGCCACACGACGCAGAAACCAGAGCTATCTTCACATCACAAGGAGCGTGACTTTGTCTCAGTAGGAACTACTCTCCTCAGGGTGGTTTTTTTTGTTTTTGGTTTCCTTTTGTACAATTTCTACCGCCAATCCAGATTTTGACCTCTACATCGAAAACGGCAGAGTGTGCCATGGCGCGATGGTAAAACGACCGTCTGAAGTTGCTGCTTCGACGCCACCCTCTACGTACAAATTTCCTCCGGGCCAAAATACGTGCCGTTTAACGACCTCAACCTAGGGTTAAATAGATGGTCCTCTATAGCTGTACGACGCTCATTTTTAGCGGCCGGACATTTAAAGTCTTGACTTTTCTGACTTTGCCCCACACTCCAAGTACAGGCGCTACAGCCCCTTATCAGGTGAAAGGTGAAATCTCTAGTCGGCTGAAATTGAGTTTTCAGATGTAGTTTGAAATCCCGAACACGAATATCTCTCTCGCTTGGAACAACGCCTACTGCATGCGTTACGAGGGCAAGTTCTTGAAATCTCTTGTGCCCCCCCATACATGGCAGTGATTGCCTAGAAAAAATACGAATACGACGTTTCATCAAAAAATAAAATTTTCCTACAGCGTACCATTCTACTTCTCTTCACAGATTTCCAGCAAAAGTAGAGTAACAAGCTGCTCGCGTGGGAAGAAACAAGCGATCAGAAGTATCCATGTCTAAATCGCTTGGGACGGTCCAATTCCTTCGGAAGCAACAATTTCCGTCAAGATTGGCTCCTCTAGTCATACAGAACTGCTCTGCATAACTAATGAGCAGCGCGCTTCTGAAAAGCATGAGGAAAACCTCCAAACCCCTGGCCTTGCAGACAACCGAGACCGCAAAGTATGCACTTAGGGAATCCGAGCGAACCTCCGTCAAAACAATCGGTACTTGGCTCGGAAACGTTCAGCACATATTGGGTCAACAGTTCTTGATGTCAGGGATATCAAATCGCTAGATGGACACTCAACACACTCCTCCTGTCTGTAGGCAAATCTATTCGCTGTTATAGCAATCTTCCATGCACAACTCGCTGTTATAACGTTCGCTCTTCACTGGAATGCTCCGCTTCCTCGTATTGAGCAGGCAAGGTGCAGCTGCAAACGAAATTTTATGAGAGCACCTAAACTGTAGATAAACTGTTCCTAGATCATGTGTGGCTGTGAAGCCCTAACTTGATTCGTTTACTTTGCAGATCGTCATAACACAGACCAGAGTGATCTATGTTGTACCAGAAACTATAATGCCAACCGAGTGCTCAGAACCTCCGACCGATGATTCTTTTTGGGCGTGGTGGCGGGTATCGTACACCGATGCATCCGCGTACCTCAGGTATGGCAGTTCCGTGGATAGTCTTGTTGAAGTTTTTGTAGAGTTGCTCTGCTGTCGTTTATAAAGGCGTGACCATGTTTTCGCTTGGTTCATTATAATCAACCCAACCGTATCATTTTTGTCCCGAATCTATACCCAGCGCTCGTATACTCATCAGAAGCGTATCAAAACGGATCTAAACCATCTGAAAGCATATTAGACGATGATACACCATACCCTGTTAGAATGCGAATAGGATAACAAAGCACGGTGAGCGGTGTACAGTCATAGCAAGGAGAAGCACAAATCATCTGCAGCGGTTGCTCATAGAATTCTCAGATCGGGAGTGTTGCGAGTCGGTGGTTCAGTTGTAGAATGCTCGCCTCCACGCGGGCGGCCCGGGTTCGATTCCCGACCGATGCACCATGTTGCGAGTCGGTGGGTCCAGGACAGGGCTTGAGTGCCACTTTCGAGGAAACCCCGGCTGTATTCACGAGGGACAATCACCTGTATCACCTGTCGTCCCGTTGATCATCGAATTGCTCGAGCGGGCGCCAGCAACGTCTCCATTCGTCCCTGTCGCGTGCAAGAGTTGTCCAGTGGACCCTCCTCGCTCGAGGGACACGATGTCCTTCATTCCTTTCGTTCAGAGCTTTCGTGAAGAAGTCTGACCATCGGGCCGGCGGTCGTCCAGGTGTTCGTTTGACGTCCCGAGGGATCCAGTCGGTAACCGCTCTGGTCCAACGGTCATCGCAAAATCGCATGACGTGTCCGGCCCACCTTATCTTCGATTCCTTGGCGAAAACGGCAGCGTCCCTGATCTTCGATCGTTGGCGTAGTTCGGCACTCCGGATTCCCCTCTGCACTTGCGTGTATAGGGTTACTCCTAGCATCGTCCTCTCGACAGCGCGTTGGATAACGCTGACCGCATGCTCGTCCTGCCTGCGCAGAGTCCAAGTCTCTGAGGCGTAGGTTAGGGCAGGAAGGACAGCGGAATCGAAGAGGTGGGCACGGAGCCGGATGTTCTTCGTCTTCTTCACTACTCCCTCGATGTTCTTATACGCTCCCCAAGCCGCTCGTTTCCTCCTGCTCAGCTCTGGAGCTGAGCTAGATCGTCATCAATGATTCCCGACCTAGGTACACGTAGCTGGAGCATTCGGTGATGTTCGTTCCGTTGAGCGTGAATGGGGCATCAGAGAACCAATCCGTTTCTCATAAACATCGTCTTCGTTAGGTTCAGCTGTAGACCAACCTTACCACAGGCGCAGTCGAAATCAGCCAGCATTCGCTCCGCTTGCTCGATGTTCGGCGTTATAAGAACGATGTCGTCAGCAAAACGAAGGTGGTGTAGTTGCCGGCCGTCGACCTTCACTCCCATGTCTTCCCATTCCAGTTGACGCATGACGTTCTCGAGAGCGGCGCTGAAGAGTTTGGGCGAGATGGTGTCGCCCTGTCGAACCCCTCTCTTGACGTCGATGATGACCTCCTTGTAGAATGGTGAGATTCTGGTCGTAAAGTTGCTGTAGAGCTCACGAAGAATCTTGATGTACTGAGTAGGGACGCCCTGGTTGCCCAAGGCTTCGATGACCGCTTCTGTCTCCACAGAGTCGAAGGCCTTCTTCAAGTCGATGAACGTGAGACAAAGCGGCATCTTGTACTCTCGTGAAACTTCAATGAGTCTTGTAACCGTGTGGATATGGTCGATCGTGCTGAACCCTCTTCGAAACCCTGCTTGCTCGCATGGCTGTCCTTCATCTATTCTGCCGATCCTGTTAAGGATGACTCGAGTGAATAGCTTGTAGATTACAGACAGCAGGCAGATTGGGCGATAGTTGCCAATGTCGTCCAAGTCTCCCTTCTTGTACAGCAACACGGTCCTGCTGGTTTTCCACGGAGTGGGTACCTTGCATTCCGACAGGTAGCGCGTGAAGAGTCGAGCCAGAGTTTTGATGATAACTGGCGGCGCATTCTTCAGATGTTCCGGTTTGACCCTGTCGAGACCGGGTGCTGTACGATTCTTCACCGACTTGATGGCGTGTCGGACTTCGGAAGAGAGAACTGAGGGGACGACGTATCCATCCTGTTGCAGTTGATAAGTGGCAGATGGACATGGCTATCGAAGAGATCCGAGTAGAAGTCGTGGATGACTTTCTCCATTGCCCTTCGGGATGCAGTAACTGTTCCATCCGGACGTCGGAGGCAGGTCATCTTGGTCTTGTAGCTGGCAAAGCTTCGGCGGGCATTGCGGATGCTCCTCCCAGCCTCTGCTGCTTCAGCTAATACTGCTGCTCTTCGCTCCTTGAGATCTTCCTTTATCGCCTCTCTGCATAGCTTCGCAAGCTCGGACGTGAGTCGGTGATTGCCTGCAGCTCGTGCGGCTCCACGCTGGCGTATCAGTTCGAGAGTTTCCGGAGACAGACGTCCCTTGGTGACTTTCAAACTCTCTGCCTTCTTGCCACAATCGTGAAGATGTTCAACGAGCCGATAGTACTCCTCGTCGATGTTTTCGATGACGGAATCCTCCCATAAGCTGACGAGGGAAGCGAAGTGGTCCCAGTTGATGACTGTCCTGGGCTTCGCTTCCTGAACTTTGAGGCTCTCTCAACACGCATCGAGAAGTGGAACTTGCGCGGAGGAGACGATGGTCCGATCCCGTGTAGAACTTTGGAACAAACAGCGACGTCGGTCAGGCAAAACCTTCGATTGAAGATGATGTGGTCTATCTCGTTATGGAACTGTCCATCAGGTGACTCCCAAGTCCAACGAAGGTGAGGGGGCTTTTGGAACTGTGAGTTACCATGGATGGTGTTGGTCGACATGATAAACTCCGACAGTCTCTCACCCTGCTCATTCCATTCCATTCCGTGAGTACCGATGTGAAGTTCTTCAGCCGTTCTTCTTGGGCCAATCTTAGCGTTGAAGTCGCCGACGATGACCTTGAAGAAGGTATGATCTTCCCTGTAGAACTTCTCCAATTCCATATAGAATGCTTCGTGTTCTTCTTCGTCGTAGCTGGATGTTGGTGCGTAGGCGACGAAGATTGTCAAAGCAGGAGTTGAACCACATCTTCTCAATCTCAAACGTCCGATTCGGGTCGTAAGGCTTTCGTACGAATCGATGTTTATGGCCAAGTGCGTGTTGACGAGGACACCCACCACCAACGCCTCTGCTGTCGCATGTTCCAAGGAACAGTTCTTCTCCAGTATCGAAAACGGCGTGTAGCGGGCGGTGCCTTCTCGTCTCGGTCAGTCCGATGACGTCGTACTTGATCTTCCTGGCCTGCATCATCAGATCTTCGATGTGAGCTTCGGATGCAAGCGTTCGTGCGTTGAAAGTACAGATCGCCATCTTAGTCCTTCTTCGTTTAGGCAGCCTATCCGGGCCCTGAGATTCTAGCAGCCTCTCCCGAGCGGTCCTACCCAACGCTGCCGTATTGGGGGCTCCCTCAGGTTCAGGGGAATGAGGCCCATCCATATTGCTGTTTTCGGCATATTGAAGGCACACGAGTAGCTTGCCAGGCTCTGTCGTGCGGGCTAGGATAGACCTCCAGGTAGTTAGCCACGCTATCCTGGAGCGGAACAAGGGGCTTATTTCTTGGAGGCGGCCCCGAATCGCCTCCCATGTACTTCCCAGTCACTTGAATGCAAGCTTTTGGCTGTGCCGACATGCAGGATACCAACCGCACACACACAGAGCGCACCACACACGCAAGCATGCATGGATGCGCCTGAGTGGAGACAGCTGGTATGAATCAACACAGCACTACAGAAACAGGGAGTCCATCCCCTGAATCCACCTGCGTCTCAGGGCAAGTACATGGTGGCTTTTGGTCCGCGATTTACCCCCTATCCGCCACCTGGGGTCGCGCCACGTAGCCTCGCCACCAACCGGCTCGAGATCTTTCAGTGAGAGAGGACCCTCAGTGAAAGAGATCCGTGGAGTGAAAGAGATCCGAGGGACAATAGTGCAGACAATCAACCATTAGTAGCCCCGCGCCGACTACTAACTTAAATATGAACTAATTACCCTAACGGCCAGCTAACTGACCTTGGCAACCACGAACCATACTTTAAGAGACCTAACTATTAGATAGGTAACGTGTGGGTTTAGAAACCCTATTGCTACATAACGCTAACATAAGTGATACTAAGTATTTATGATTTTGAACTACTCTCAATGTATTATGAACTAGTAAACTAAGGCTATACAAGAAGTTATAATCATATAACCCATACCGTCCGACCCGCCGATCGACCACATAAGATGAACTAAGAATAACATCCAGAATAAGTTCTAAGGGCTAACGCCCTGCGAGTCTGCAGAACCGACGAAGAAGGGGCAGAACCTTGATGACAGACGGGGAACACCGGGACAGGCCGTGATGGTGCCGTTGCGAACGGCCCGTGCGTTTCCGCACGATCACGGGTAGGTCGTAGTGGGTCATGTCTGCAGTACTTCGCAGGCGCCGGCGCGCCCAGGGTTCCGTTGGAACGGTCTTGCGGCGATTAGCAGGATAGCATGCTGATCATTTCAACGAGATAGGAAGCGTTTCATTCCTTTCGTACAGAGCTTTCAAGGAAGTGTGATCATCGTTGGTCGTCTTTTTGAGACGTCTCAACATAAACGATGACCTACAGGGTGGGGCAAAATTACTGGTGCACTAAATTTTCAATGGCATTTTGACAATAATTCTCACAAATATCAATCTAATTATCAATATTATTTACTACAAACATAACAATACAAAAATATTAACGCTTCTCAAAATTCCGCTCACCCCCCCAGGGTCAAACGCTATGTGCACCCAGTACAACGAGGGGGGGTCGTTCTTGGATGGACCGGAGGGTGGGGGGTCGTACTCTCTCGGTGGCCGGCAGTAGGATTTGTGGTAATCTCCCTACTGATCATAACCATGTTTCAGGAAGAGCATGAGAAAGGAAGACTTGCAGAAACAGCAGCTGCAAGACATGTAGCATCGTTCAAAGAAGTACTCCCACCATGACATGGGTCCACCCACGA